CTGGTGTTTGATGAAATTAACGTTCGCGAAGAATTGCGGGTGAACTCCAAAACGATGACTTATTCTGGACATGCAGACTTCGGAAATGAAGCTGAAGCGTCGAAGCAGCTAGCCGATCATAGACTTGTGTTTGCATTCCGTTCTTTTGGTGAGAGCTACTCCCAACCCGTGGCTGTTTTTGCAAGCCACGGCCCTACAAAAGGAACTGTGTTGTCCCAGCTTGTATTGAAGGTGATACTCCTTGAAGATGCAGGCGCATTTGTCGATGCGATTGTGTGTGACGGTGCCTCGACCAATCGATCCATGTGGAAGCACTTTGGTGTAACTGGTGCTTTAAATGTTGCAAAGAACTATTTTGTTAATCCTGTGTGTGAGGAACGAAATGTTTATGTTTTTTTCAGATACGCCACATCTAATCAAGTGCGTGCGAAACCGGCTTCTGAAGCAAAAGCTATCCTCTCTAAACGGCAGCCCCGTGATGTGGTCACACTATGACAAACTTTACGTAGTTGACACCAAGGCCGAAGGCATGTTGAGGGTTTGCCCAAAACTTCCTTTCTCACATGTAAACCCAAGCAACACCGAAAAAATGCGCGTGAAGCTTGCAACACAGCTGTTCAGCCTCAGTGTGGCAAACGGTTTAGAATTTTACTCACAGAAGGGATCACTTGGCTTATGCAATGTAAAAGGGACAGTTGATTTTACGGTAAGGATGAATAACCTGTTCGATGCCTTCAACCGCAAGCACCCTAAGGAAGGCCTCAGAGAAGGAAGCAAAGATTTCAGCATCCTAGAATCAACATTGCAATGGCTGAACAACCGGGAGAAAGATGTCAAGCTAGGTAAAGTAAATCCTCACAACTTCCTGTCTCAATCAACTGCTGAAGGTATGCGAGTAACAATACTTTCTACAATTCAGCTTTCAAAGTATTTGTTAGAACAGTGTGGCTTTAAATATGTGCTAACAGCTAAATTCAACCAGGACGTCCTTGAAAAAATTTTTGGCGTCATACGCCAAGCAAACGGTCAGAATGACCACCCTTTCTTACCTGCGTTTTTGCAGTTATATAATGTGCTTTCAATATATAGCCTTGTGAAGCCGCCAAGATTTGGCAACTGCCAGGTACAGATTAGTGAAGAGCCATGCCTTTTGAGCCTCTCTGACCAAATGTCAGCATTTCAGGAATCTGCTCCTCTAGAGTCGCGTCTGGAGGGACTGAAACAGAAACTAGACGGCTTAGTGGAAGAAGAAGCTAAGTGTGAGAATGTCTTTTCGGATATATCCTCGTCAGATAGTGTGACCGACTGTATAATTTATTATGTGGTAGGATTTTTGTGCAGGAAGATATTGAAGAACACCACTTGTCAACAATACCGCAATGGCTTGGCAGCTACAAGTAATGCAGCGTCGAAGCCTGAAGTGGCATTAGTAGCCTGCAAGACGCGATGGGGACTGGTACACCCGAACACTTGCCTGTTTATGTTCTTAAAGGAAGTTGAAGCAATATTTTGCAAACATGCTGGAGAAAAGCACGCATATGACATGACAATAGACTATGTAGTAGAAAATTCCATGTTATCATTTCCCTGTCATGAGCACAAGGTGGATATTATGTGGAAAGTGCTTCATTATTATGTTGGAGTCAGGATGAGGCAATACTGTAAGCAACTGCGGAAGGTTGAAGCAGACAAGATGCAGAAGCTACGAAAGCTTTTGAAGCTTGTCTAGTGTGTTGTGACTTTTATCCTGTCAGTGCATGTTGTGCTGGTACAGATGGTGCACTGTCGAATGAATAAAGTGTTTTTTTTTTCTATTTACTACCACCTTGAGTACTATCCTACATTCTTTCGTATCATTTAGCCGCACCACACAGTACTCGAGCTAAAGCCGCTTTTTCAGGCAAAAATATGTAAAATTCGTAGATCATGCCAATACCGTGATAAAATTCTTGGCGCACCGTAACCTATATATCTTGCGGTCTGTTTATTTTGAATATATCAAAGAGCGGCCATCGGTCACAAGCTGTCACCCACTTTATTGCATTCGCTTTCAATCCTGCATTTTCGACCTGGGAGTGGTGCCTCACGTGCTACTGCACGCCTTGAAAGACCGAAATAGAGTTATTCTATTCCATTGCATTAAAGCATTCGTTTTCTCGCAGATGTTTACGGAATTTGCAAATAATTGGTTCGTAATAAAAGATTCTGTAGGGTCACTTGATCTCATATGCGAAATGCCCCTTACGCATCATACCTGCTCTTTATATGATCTGACCGCAAATACACAAATTATTCTTTCGCGGGCAAATGAAGGGTGAATTCAACACGCGCCACACAACTGCATATTTACTTTTGTAGACAAAATGCGGGAACGATCGCCTAGCCCACTGTGTTTCCAAAGCCGAATGTGGTGTTTATGAGCTTCACGCCGCATGCCGAACCGTCAGGCGTAAAACACAACGAAGTATTTATATTTAGCATATGATAATATACTGCCGCATAATCCTCGCAGGGCCTTGCGATATTGCTAAACACGTTAAAACACCGAATATTAGAAGCGTCAGGTATGCGCTGGGTATAGCCAGGCGGCCTCCATCCCGCGCGCGCCTCCTTCCGGCAAGAAAGGCCCGATTTCTCCTCACTCCAATGCGCCGTTGTTCCACCTAAACTATTCTAACACCGTGCCCCAGTGCTTTGAAAAACTCTGCGCCATAATCCTGAACTAAAGGGTGAAGCCCTTCACAGAACATTATCAAGTGTACGGCAGTTTCCTCCTCCTCTCCACAGGCCCTGCATAACGTGTCTACCCCTTCGTATTTGGCCCGATATGTCTTGGTTCGCAATACTCCCGTCTGGCCTCGAACAATAGATAACTACCCCGAGTGTTATCATAGATCCTTTCCTTGGCAATTTCCTGCTTAAAAGTTCGATAGATCTCTAGTGCGGACTTCTTAATCATGCCGATTCTCCACATGTCAGTATCCGTTTCTTTCCCTTTCTTCTTAACCGATAGTTCTTTTTGGTTTGGCCACCTGCTGTTTTCTAAGTATTTACCAGTCAATTTCCTGGTTCGCTTCCTCCATTTTGTATCGACATTCTTCATGTACAAGTAGCTGAAAACCTTTCTAGCCCAACGCTCCTCCCCCATTTCTCTCAATCACTTCTCAAATTTTATCTTGCTGCTAGCTTCCCTGCCCTCAAATGATGTCCATCCCATATCACCTTGTACTCTCTGATTTGGTGTATTCCCGTGAGCTCCTAAAGCAAGCCTACCTATTCCACGTTGCTTAATTTCTAATCTTGCTTGAGCTTCTGATCTCATGCACAAGACCGCATTGCCGAACGTCAGCCCAGGAACCATGACCCCTTTCCATATTCCTTTTACAACATCATACCTTTTGTAATTACACAGTGCCATATTTTTCATCACTGCTGCATTGCTGTTACCTTTAGACGTCTCGTATATTTTGTGTTCCCTTAGGTACTCGGTCCCATTGCTTATCCATACGCCCAGATATTTGTATTTTTCTGTTATCTCTAGCGTGACCTCCTGTATTCTAAGCTCACTACCTTCGTTGTCATTAAAAATCATGACTACTGATTTTTCCTTACTGAATCTAAAATCTAACCTATCTCCCTCATTACCACAGATGTCCATAAATCTCTGCAAATATTCCTTGTTGTCGGCCATTAGCACTATATCATCTGCGTACATTAATCCTGGTAGTGCCAGTTCAATGAGTTTTTCTTGTTTGACTAAAGAGAGGTTAAAGCCAAGTCCACTTCCCTGTAATTTGACCTCTAATTCTTGTAGGTGCATCATGAATAACAAGGGTGACAGTGGACACCCCTGCCTAAGTCCCTGTTTCACCTCTTTGGGCTTGGATACCTGTTTTTCCCACTTTTTAACTACCTTGTTACTTTTATAGATTTTCTTTAAAAAATTAGTGACTCCATCTTCCGCACCCAGTGTGTCTAGTATTCCCCACAAGTCCTCTTGAACCACGCTATCGTACGCTCCCTTGATATTCAAAAATGCTAGCCACAGGGTCCTGAATTCCTTTTCTGCTATTTCGATGCACTGCGTCAGTGAGAACAGATTGTCTTCCAACCTCCTGTGTTTCTGAAACCCATTCTGCAGTTCTCCCAGCCCCCCCCCCCCCCTCATCCTCTATCCATGCCTGCAGTCTTTCCTTTATAATCTGCATCACCAACTTGTAGACCACTGATGTCACTGTTATAGGATGGTAGTTGCTTATGTCAGCTTTGTCCCCCTTTCCTTTATAGATCATGCTCATTCTGCTAAGCTTCCATCCATCGGGGACTTCACCATCGAATAATGTTCTGCTTACTGCCTCTCTCAAAGTCTGTTTACACTTGGGACCCAATGTCTTTCCAATTCCAATTATTAGCATTCCAATTATGCTGATAAGCATAATTGGAATGCCATTTGGGCCTGTTGATGTACTATTTGGGACCCTCTTCTCAGCCCTTTCCCACTCTCGTTGTGAAAATTATGCCATTGTGCCACTTCATCCATCCCTGTCTATTCCGGTGCATGAGGCACTTTGTTGAAATTCTTCTGTCACCCTTGTTCTTATATGTTCAATAGCTTAGTCCCCTTCTAGCCTAAGAACCATGAGGTGTAGTTATAAACCTCTGCTCTAGGCTTGTTTCATTTCTTAGGGAGTTTAGATGGTTCCAAAATTTCGCAGCTGCCTTTCTGTCCTTTTTATGTACTTCTGCCAGCCACTGAGAAACCTTTCTTCTAATCTTTTCATTGATCAGGAGGATCAGGAGCAGTACCATGGGTCTACAGTGCCGCCACTACTGTCACCCGCCGGAGAATCAGCCGAGATGCGGCGCGGCCGCCTCGTTCACTCCACTGCCCCCTTTCAGTACACTGTAGCCTGGCGGCGAAACGCCGCCAACGCCGCACTAACACCAATGGCCGCCTCCCATAGTGATATATTTAGCAATATATTTTATCTGAACACTAGAGCCATCTAACGACGCTAATGCTAATATGAAGTGGGCCGTTTACGGCGATCTGGCAGCCAGTGATTCCGTGGGTTTGTAGCACCGGATTGGTTGTGTCCGGTTATTTGCTCGTGAATTTTGTCAGATATGCGTTAGTGCAGAAATCTGTGATTTACTGTTAAATGTAATCTTAATCTGCTTTTTTTGGATGCGATGCTACCCGTGGACGTGAGCTGTCTACTGAAGGGGCACTGTTCTTAATGCATGTAAGTGAAACTTAACTTTCTCTAGCAGCTCCTAAGCGATCGAATGACAGCATTTATGTAATGCGTCAAATGCCGGCAATGAAAGGCCCGCTATTAACTGATCTTAGTGTGTGTACCATTCGTCGGCACACGGCGTTTACTGCTCTTTCCTATGCCTCTGCAAGGTTCGATCTCGGAGTCTGTCAAAAACATCCACACACAGTAGTATACACACATACATATCGCCCGGTTCGTGTAATGTGCTCTCGCTTTGAAATGTCCCAGTGCCGATAGAAATGCGCAACGCATAAGGAGTGCGTTGACCAGATGGGAGTTCCGATGACGCGTTCGCGTCAATTTATCGGTTTTTAAGCGTATCTGATTTGGCTTACCTCTGGTTGAACCTGTTTACTGTGTTTGGCACGGTGCCCTCAAAGCACAGTGTTACCATATTTTTTTATATTATGCTTATACCTCAAATTAAGCCATGCTACACTTATTTCCGCAGTCAGAAAGGTAGATGTTTACGTGCGAGTATTAGCTGCTGTAAGCCTTCGATCATAAGAGAACATTTCTTTTGCTGACGTTTCTTTCTATCACAAGAGCCACCACTCATTATTTTATTTGGAGAAACTCGTATGTTTGAAAATAACTGCTGTCTTTGCCTTAATAAACGCTGAAAGCTTTGCGTGTAATACTTGAAAGACCCGACATGCTTAAATTCAATAACTTTCCTCGAAACTGCGATATAACTGCACTGGTGTCCTGTGTTTTAATATTCTGAAGGCAAAAAACTTGGAAGTGCATGCTTTTATATAAGTGATCTAGTAATCAGCTATCATTGAGTGCTGCTCCGAAATCCAAAAGGTACATTTGACTGTGGGAATGTTCATATACTCCGGGAAGGAACATTGCTCTTAGCATAGGCTAGGGAGAGACCCGCGATTAATGCCCTGGCAACCGATTGTTGAAATGGAGGGTGTATTACACGGAATTTAATTATTGTGTGCGGCTATTGGGGCAGAATGACTTTGATTCATTTTATGTACCAGATAGAATGACTTGTAAGTAGAAGATGGCAACAGTCTTTAATTCATTCATGTTGTGCATTACATGAAATGCAGGTGAAAGAGCTTACCCAAATCACTCATCACATTTATCAACAGTCGGAAAAACGGAAATTTCATCAATTTCATTTTTTTCTCAAATATTTCGGTGTGTTAGCTTCTTGGTTTTAATATGATGAGGGCAGTATTTAGTGGAACATTTAACAATCTTCTTAAGGCTGTTATTGGGTTACTTGTCACCAATGCATTCTCCAGCATTCACATAGGTTATGTTGATTAAATCATAGTGGTGAAGCATGCCAGTGCATTGGATATGTTGCATCTAGTATATATACTATATGTGGCTTTGTAACTATTTATGAAGAATTTCAAAGCTTCTGAAATCGCTGTGTATTTCTCAAAACGAAATGGTTGAATGTATATACGACACTTCGTCTTGTTAAGTAATTGGCCTGTTGCAAAAATTGAAAGTAATTGTGCATTAACGACTTCAACCTGAGTATCACCATCTAATTTTTGCTCCACTGTCACAGTTTGATGATTCAGTAGTTATATACAGGCATAGAAAGAAGAAATCTACTTTATGGTTGAAGCTGTGCGTAGCAGCATTAGGAGAAATGGGTACATAAGCCAGCCTTCAGTTACCTCCTGTAAAGATGAAATGTGAAGCTTGGAAAATTTTCTGCATAGACTGGCATGTGTATTACATTGACAGGTGGCACTGCCATTGCTGAGCAAGCACCGATAAGTTTTGTGTATGTTTCCTTTTTGCCCAAAGGCAACATTTAAGGTGTGTGTTTGCCAATGTCTGCACGCTTATTTTTTTATGAGACTTCTTACACACTTTTCTTACACTGTTTTCTTCCCATATAACATGCTTGATAAGCTGCCTCTTGATACATTTGGTGAAATCACCTCCACTAAGGGTGGTAAAGAAAATAATTTGTTTGCAATATCCTAATGCTGGCCATCTGGCCCGCATTATAAAATTAATGTGCACAGTTGTGTATTAGAGAGCAGCAAGGTGTAGTGGTATAGCCTTAGCTACTGCATTGGCTGTATGGATAGCCAAAGCAGTAGTAGTGAAGTTTAGACTGTATTTTCAAGGCAAATTCGGCTTTGCACCATCTTGAACGAAGAAAGACCCTATATACTTCTGGCTTTGTTGAGTGACATTTCTTAGCTAAAGAAAAAGGGTATTATTATATATAGTAATCACATTAATGGATCCTTTGGCATTGCGGCAGTCAATGGAAAGCTTTAAGTGGCTGTGTAGGGAGCATTTTACTGCACAAATGTTTCAACTTTGTTCATTATTGTAAGAGAAATTCAAATTTTTATTGCTGTGTTGCTAGAAGTCAAGCACCATTGGCAGCATTCAGTGTAATCTTGTTAACTAGAACCTCTAGTGACCAAAAAGTGTGTTCTAATTAACAGGACTTACATTTGTCAAATAATACATGTAGCACTATCTGCAATATGCCCTGATAACATTAGCAGATATTTTTAAGTAAAAGAAGATATCGTATCGGTTGCCCTGGAATGGGGTATTGTTCGCAGCTGTTGGATGGACTAGCCTTTGCTAGTTCCTGTCTCAAGGAGGTAGCTGTGGCATATTAAAATGAAAATTCACCCTTTAGTGCTCTAACTGATAGCTGGATAGCATTAAATTGTGCTTGTAGAATATTTGTTCGTATTTCTTGAAATAATTATGAATAAAAATAGGGTGCCACAAGGATATATTTCAGAATTGGTCATTTTTGGATGAAACACCTTTAGAGCTTGCTTCTATTGTCCCATTTACAGATATGCCTGAAAACCTTTGTTTTACCTAATGAAACTTCCCATTCCTATGATTATACTCTAGTTTCTTTCTCTATTTACATCCACAAGCAGTATTTATACCCTGCTCTCTTTCTATACAAGATTTGGAGAACCTTGTTACACATGTCACCAGTCCACTCTCCTTTTTTTATAAAGTGCAATGAGCATATTTTACCCATATTGCAATTTGTATTATATTCTAGCTCATTAAATTGTATTATATTTCTAGTTCAATAACTATGGTATTCCTACTAATGAAGAAAAAGCTCAGAAAACTGATACTGATTAGTACTGAATATGTGTCTCGAGCCTCTATCCACTTGGCCATGATCACAAGCTGGGAAAAGAGGAATTTTTTCTTTGCTTTTTCACACTCATTGCTGAATTATCATTGCTGATAAGCAATCGATTCAGTAACAAATTCAGATCCCACCCCCTAATTACACTTCCAAGAACTGAAATTTGGTGAGTTTATCATGTTTAAGTAAGGCTGCTAATTCAGAAATTAGTATGACCCCAGAAAAGGTAAGGCAAGGAGGACAAGCGCATATCTTTTCTGCCTTACTTTTTTGTGTTATTGTCCCTTTGCACTGTAACAAGATTATGACACACAATTACATGCACTCCATCACTTTCATACTAATTGCAGCACCGAAGGTAAGCACACCTGAAGTGTTAGTTCTGCCTGCATTACCTAAAACAACAGGTACATGAGTCTCTATGACCTCTGTGTAGAGCTTGTTTTCTATTGTGTGTGGCAGGTAACACTATGCTAAATAATCCTGCACTCCTAGTCTTGGAACTCAATGATGCACACAAGTTTTGTAAGGTTTGAGGCCACGTAAGGCATTCAAAACTTAAAAAGCAACCACAAAGCTCGAGCGGTGCTGATGCTGAAAAGGCAGTTTGCAAGTCACGGGCACCCGGATTTCATCAGAAAGCAGTTGTACACTCCCAGGTGTGCATTATTCATATCAGAACTCGTAGTAAAGTGTTTGGTTATGTCAGCCTATTTATTTAAATACAATACTTACACAGTGACCACAACAAGCATATCTGATCAAAGCAGTGCTCTAGATTTATGTCAGCTATTGACCATTAGTAACAATCTGCCAAATGATAAAATCTGGTGGCTATGAGCAGCTTTGAAGAGAGTGAGGAGAAGCCCCTCTATGAAGAGAGGGCTCTTATTAAAGTGGTAACTTCACCATGCAATTGTGAAATCTATGTGCTTTGCACAACTAAGAAATTTGACTGAACAGAAGGTTGCTGGTTCGACCCTGACCATGGCAGTCGCATTGCAGTTGAGGTGAAATGCTAGGGGCCCATGTACTGTGCGCTGTCAGTGCACATTAAAGAACACCAGATGGTTGAAATCGCCAGAACTCTCCAATGGTACGTGCCTCCTAATCATATCGTGGTTTTTGCACAGTAAACCCCAGATAATATTTAAACATGACTGAACAGTTCATAACAGTGTTTACTACTAGTAACTCTTCTTTTATCATCAAGTCCAAGAGTTGCTTTAGAACCCCTTTAATGCCAACTAGAATATCAGCTACTCTTGTTTGTTTTCATATCTATTCTGTTGTCCTCCTATTTTTCAATGTTACACTGATCATTAGTTATTTTATCGCACGCTGTGTGATGAATAACTTCCTTCCAAGTTTTCTTTTTTATTCTAAGTTTCTGCTTATATGCTAGTACTGGCAGAATGCAAGCACTGTATATTTTCCACTTCAGTTCTATGGAGTTAGCTTTTGCCTTATATCATATTTCTGTATAGTAGGTTTTTTTTTTATTGTATGCCAATGCTTCCAACCTATTCATTTTAGGTAGCAGAAGCTAGTCAAGCTGTGTTAATGCCGCTTTTACTCCTGGTATCCTTCATGTAGTCTCAAACATGAAAATAAAGATTCAATTCAATTCAATCATCTGCTTTATATGTTAGAAGTTACATGGATAATTTCTGTGGTTATTATTTATTATTACTGGAGGTGGATTCATATTTTAAGTGAAATGGTCACGTCGACATGCCAAATCCTTCTTGGATCTGAAATTGGTCAAGTTCTCATTGACACTTGGAGATAACTTGGTATCTGTTTTGGCTTTGCACAAAAGCATGATTAGTTGCTCTTAAGTCGATCCATCTTGTAGTAATTTTACCTGGCTTCTCTGTGCCTGTGCAAAAGAAACTAATAAACTTGGGTCTGGGAAACTGTCTTGGATGGCTAGTTTTTCGTGCAGTGTGATTTCATATACCCTTTTGCTGCCATTTATTGTACTCTTCTGCTCTTCTGAAAGGTGCTTTGTGACATTTTGTTCCTAATATTTTCGCAGAATTTCGAGTCAAAGTACACCTTTTCATGCCTTGATGGGCACATGCTACTCAAGTAAGAGCAAGTCAGCATCGCAGCCATACTCCTCTGCTCCCATGTCGGCTTCTTCTTCCCAAGATAGTGCGCTACGTCTACCACGTGCCACGCCTTACACAAGGGGAACAGTTGCCCCTGCAGATACGTCGGAGGTTAACTTCCGGCGCTGTATTCCTCCCCCTACTAAATACCGTGCCAATACTGTACAGTCCGGAAATCTGCAAGGCAATGCCAGTGCTACAGTCACAACAAACTTTGCAGAGAAGAGCAGGAGAGCTGTGACTGACAATATTGATGTGAACAATCCCAGCTTCAATAACAACTTCGAGGATGAAAGTGCATCCCGAGATTTCACAAACCTTAAGAAGGGTGTCCTTGACAGTGGTAAACCAAATGTTACAGACAGTTCCTCATTCCAGCTTAGAACTGAGGGGCCCAAAGCATCTTCTGAGAACTCTGAGCGCATACAATATGGGGCCACCAAAATTCCAACTAAGATTACAGCGCACTTAAGTGGGCTTCCCAAACCTCAGGTTGCCGTTGTCACAACCAGAGTGCCACCTGTACCACAGCGGGCTGCGAGTGAGAAGTTGCACGCAGAAACTCGCATCTCTAACCAACCAGTGGGAGACGCTGCAGCAAAGCGGGCTGGTTGCCAGCAGCGTGTGTCGCCGGACAAGGAGAGCATTTCAGACAGGAGCCACAGCGGAGACAGCGGTAGCACCGACTACGACTCTGGTCTGGGCCACTCTCTGGGTGACCCACCTACTGGCAGTGAGAGTGGCGGGAAGGCTCAGAGCAGCAGCACGACGCTACAGGTGGAGTCGTCGCCTGTTTTAACGGAGGCTGTGGGTGTAGGAAATGAGTTGGACTCGACTGTGCTGCCCACAACGCTCCCTGTTGGAACACAACTGGCTACAGTTGATGGAAATGCCTCCAAGATGGGTGTCTATGACCAGCCGGACTCCTACGCGGCATACCGGGGAATCCTGTCTTATCGGCGCATCACTCCATTAAAGAAATATTCAGAGGCTCCTCAGTGGAAGCGAACTGTTGAACCAAAGACCACTAAGGGCTTCAGTAGCCCAACTAGGGCTGTCATTGCCAGGGGAATACTGACCAAGGGTGCCAAGGCAGCTCACGCAGCAAAGGATGGCTCACCGGAGCGAAAGAAAGAGGGAGTTGCGAAAGGACCTCCACTACCATCAGCTCCACTAAGCCCAAGCAAGGAAGAAAAATGCGCTGGTTTTCTCAGCCCCACATCAGACGGATTTTTAATTGATGATGATATCTCTGATCAGCCGGGGCTGATTGCCCTGGAGCGGTCTCGAGGAAGAGCGGCACCATCAGTGAAAAAGTCTATCTTTGAGTTGCATGCTCTACAGTCATTTAGTGGACGACAGTCTAAAGTTGACCGTACATTGGATGACCTCCACCCCTTATGTTCTGATGCCGGATCATCTTGTTCAAGCCTGGGCTCTGATGACCTTATGCTGGACTTTGAAACTAGTATGTGCAAGGATTCCACAGAAGTGTGAGTAGTATACCTATTCTGCTTGATTACTTGAATGTTTTTGTATCCAATATGTCACTTCACACTTTCAGTATACAGTAGATATTGTCACTTTTCATTGCACCAAGCAATAGCATCACCATAGGCATGTGCACGGTTTCCCTTCATGGGGACAAAGGATCGTCGCAGCACCCCCTTTCCTTATTGAGTTAATCTGTGCGGAAGACCTTGTGCCCCCCCCCCCCCCCTCGCCCCAGTGACTAGGGAAGTGGCTGTCCCCCTTACCCCCCTCGAGCGCATGCCTACTATGGCCATCATGCTTATTTTATAAAATATATTGAAGATTAAAACTGGTATTGTTTCTTGGCGTTCTGGTAACATAACAGCTTTCTAATAAGTTGTTTCATATAGAAAGCCATTAATGTGGCACACTAGCTTTACTAAACTATGCTTTACAAAATATTTTTGATGCACACGTGCCTTGTTTAGGCTTTTACCACAACGTGTATGTGCCTTTTTTGGTATAATAGGCCCACAAATTAAAGGCACCTACAACCTTTCAGAGCATCATTTGAGATAAACCCACGGATAAAAAGGGTTCATCTTTTAGTGACTGCTTCAGCACTGTTTATCTTTAATTTAATTTGGATTTGTATTTTTAATTCATTGCAAAAAGAATGGTGTTTAGGGCCCCACTTGGCAAAAACAACCACCAAAAAGTATATTCTATCATGTGGCCTTGCATTAGTCTATGTAGCTCGTGAACTTTTATTTAATATTAAAGAAGCCGTGAAGAGGTTGCTAAGACGACAATGCGAAACTGCCAACAGCCACATGCACTAACTAGATGATGTTTTAGGTGACGTCAGCATAAGAAGAATAGACCTGCATAGACGATTATCAAGGCTTTGCATTTATAAGCTTCAATACACTTTTACTCTGCATTATCTGCACTCGCGTCAATCCATGGCTGTTCCTAGTGGTCTTGGTTCCAGCAGGAGTCGTAGTCCCGGGTTTCACGACACCATTTGTAAAGAAATGAGACCGTCGCCATGGCTGCCCCGTCTTCTTCCCTTTAATGGAATACCTTAATCCCCATGATGCTGATACCTATGCCCTAGATGCGGCTGTCGTTTTCTTCCATATTCAACAGTTAGAATTCAAGAGCGACTACTTGACACATTTAGAAGTTTCTGAAGGTCAGATTTTTGCCCGATGACTGATTTTATTATGTGAACAATGTGTTCATTTACTTGGGCAGACTGTTCTGTGTTTGTTTTTACAAAAATTTGTTGTCCTATTTGTTTGAATTGACTTCTGAAAAAGTGTCTAGGGTGCATAAGATGTGAAGCCATACAACAGTCTAAATTTAGCAAATTCCACGCTCTGTAGTGGGCTGTGGAATTCTGCTGACATTTCACAGTTTCCCTGTGTTGATTTTACTTCTAGGTGGTGGCTAAAATTCATATTCAAAGAACTTGTCAAACTTAAATATAAAGCCCTCCATTGCTGCCAATTTCATGGAGCAAAGTGTAGTTTTCCGATTTAAAGATTAATTATTAAGGCATGTATAATATTAACTGCCCACGAACTGGGAGCCCAACAATTCTGCCCATAAAGCATCACAGCAGGTAATTCACGACTCGACATCAAAACACTTTCTCTTTGATGGTAACAAGAAAGCATGGAATATTTATACACCTTCCACTTTGGACACTCTAACTAAAGCCTCAGCTGGGTCACCATTGGATTACAAATCTAAGTTGTATTGCAGGGAAAACTTAGATGGCTTGGAGTCACAGAATTAAAGAAATGAAAAAGAAGGTGCAAAGAAGACAACGGACGAAAAGGGAGGGACACAAACACAGGGCGGCGCCACTTTTTAGCGCCTTCTTTTTCGAATCATGTAAAACCAACGCGCCCAGTTGTTCGCTCTCACAGCAAAAAGTTGGGCTGTTCACAGAAAAATGAAGAACACAAAGTTTACTTCATCTGAGAAAAATAAATGTGTGTAGGCATAGGCAAGTTCATTAAACATGATACAATTGCTCTAGCTTCAAAGCCATAGATAAGCTTCTGTAAAACATCATAATCATTAAATAATGGAGTCTACAGTCAACAGGGTCTCAATAATCAAGAAACAGGGTTGCCATCATTGCAGTGGAAATAAGCATTGCCATCACATTGCATTTGAGATATCAATTTAAAAGCCAGAAACACATTATAGACACCATGTCTTAGACGTCACCGTTTTAGGAAAACAAGGTAATCGAAATTTGAGACAGTTAAGTACAGCAATTCACACTTGCTGTAGCACCTCATTGTTCTCAAAGTTGGTGGGAAGGAATAATAATAGTTACTGGTTAGTTGTGCTCACTTCAAAGGTGTCCTTCAAAGGTTAGTTGTGCTCACTTCAAAGGTGTCACTTCAAAGGTGTTCGAAGGTGTTATTGTCCTTCTTCATTCCACTTATCTGACTGACTTTTCAATCTGTTAGGCCATTTTTGCTTCCTTACGGCACTTGGGCCTCTTTATATTCCATTTCATCATCTCACCTTCTTGAGATGAATGCCCTTAGTTTTGGCCTGCTTCTTTTGTGGTTACCCAAAGTGGTCGCAGTAGTGGGGACATTCATAGTATATTTATTGCTATTGTAAGTGGTTGGAAACTGGAGCTTTCTGTAAGAACTAAAGCTTTTCATATTCTGATAAAACATGACTTTAGGAGGCATTCTGTGTGCTACAAGTATTGATAGTTCCTACTACTAATTAATAATACGCTATAAAAAACAGAGGAGTGGACAGCACCTTCATTTTGACTAGTGCAGTAATAAAAGGATTAGGGATTATTAATATTTAAGACTAGTCATTCATGCAGTAATCTGATTATCCTTTTTATAGGGGTGTTTGAATAGCAGAAGTCACAATTCAAGCTGAATATGCCATTTTTAGAAATTTTTTATGATGAAATAACAAGACATATTGAGCTACAAAGAAAAAAAAAAGCTTCATTTCATACTATGCATAACTGTACGGAAATGTGTCACCTAATATTAATATTAAGCCGTCACAGTCTCTGGTTGGTTTATAGTGAAAAAATTGAAGTTGCTGTTGATATGTAAGGGACGATTTGCACCATGAGTGAATTGTCCCTTAGGTTAATTGTCCACCAATGTTAATATTATTCTGGTATGTCCATCTACACTCAAATATTCGAGATAATGATATTTAATTTTCTTTGATATAGTTCTTGATTTCATCTTTGTAATTTGGGATCTTCACAGACGAGTGTGTGACTTCAATTTTGTATGCACACTGTAAGATTGCATTGTGTAGGACAGCTTTTTGTTATGTGGGACAGTGGTAAGGTCGTATTATCAGGGACCGCAGAGAGTCAGGACTTTTGTTTAAGATAGAAGAAAAAAAAATTTGCTAAAGCTGAGCATTTTCTATTACAATTTGCATTACAGAGAGTTTTTTTTGTTTTATACTTGACAGTATTTGTGATATGTACATTGCAGTGCATCCAGTCCTGTTAAATATACCGGAACACAATTGAGAAGGGTTGCACGACCATCTGTTGCTTCTCAAGCAGAAAAGAGGAACTCGTGGGACAGTAATCACTCAGAGTAAGTTATTGCTACTCTTTCTCTAAAATGACTGCTTGATCCAGAAACTGATAAGTTTGCTAGCATGCAATGCATTTTTTCCCCTTGAATAATCAGCAATTTTAGAGTAATCACAAGTGACATAATTCATTCTTGGGCATAATGTGCTTGGAACTAATTCAAAATGCCTATTTTGATATTGCGCACTATAAATATGTCTAATTGTAGTCAGAGTGAAAAGTGATAGTAAGTCACTTGTCTTCATTGGTTGTCATAGTAAGGATAACTTTGGCTTAAGAGGCCTACATTGTTTGGAATGGTCCCTTGGCAGAAATGAGAAAGGGGGTAGTATTTGCATAATTATTAATGTTAAAAAAGTCAAATTGTGCCTGCAGTGGCCTTAGAAGGGAAGGCATAAAGGGATAGGGCACTAGAAGTTAGCAAAGGCAGTTAAGTGATACTTAATTTTTTCAATTTGCATATTTTGTGAAACATTCATTATTAGGGACTGCTTTTCAATTGCAACAAAAACTTTGGAACAAGTTTTATTGCCTTCATCTGCAAAGAATTTTGCCCCGCCGCGGTGGTCTAGTGGCTAAGGTACTCGGCTGCTGACCCGCAGGGCGCGGGTTCGAATCCCGGCTGCGGCGGCTGCATTTCCGATGGAGGCGGAAATGTTGTAGGCCCGTGTGCTCAGATTTGGGTGCACGTTAAAGAACCCCAGGTGGTCTAAATTTCCGGAGCCCTCCACTACGGCGTCTCTCATAATCATATAGTGGTTTTGGGACGTTAAACCCCACATATCAATCAAATCAATCTGCAAAGAATTAACAGGGCTGTAAATGCTGGACGCTGAGCAGACAACCAATCACTGTCTTTACAGTGAAGGGGCAGCCTTGCGCCGAGCATCCGACTCTCTCTCATCCCGATGGCCTCTGAAAACACCATCCAGTGGTGCCATTCCAGGCGAAGCACGTCCGCGCACTGTCAGCTTACCCCTGCGGCCGCCTCGTCAGGTGGTGATGCAGGAGTGTGATGATGGCAGTGTGAAGTTGGACTCATCTTCGTACCGGTCAGTGTGCCAGGACCTCAATGGACTGAAGACAATGCTCCTCAAGCTGCGCCGCATACTGCAGGATGTGAGTGTGCTTGTTGCATTTTAAACACTTCATTTGATAACTTGGTGCTAAACAAGTACAAACCTGGTAAAAGAAAAGTTTAAGCTTTAAGCTCATATTTGCTTATGTCCCTGCCTGACTAACTTCCAGGATAACACCTTCAGGCTTAAATGCAGATGTATTCTTAAGAGAGGAGAAACAAGCAAACTCTATATTGATGGGAATAATAATGTGTATTGAAGGCCGTTGTAACATTTAGTTGTAATGACTAGTACATTAGTACATGATCTTGTAAAAGCTTCTTACATTCACCTATGTGTGCATTGGGCTTCAGTGGCAGTTTATAATGTCTCATTGACAGGCGCTCAGATGGTTGTTTTACGAGGGTTTACTCCTATGATTACGTTTTTGAGATATATTGATACAGTGAACTCACTATTGAGTGAATATTAACGGACCCAGTGAAAAAGTTCATTTAGGTGAAAGTTCAATAAACAGAATATATGCCAGAATGTGAAACTGCATTGCTGGCAACAAGTCAAAAGGGTGAAATGCAGTTGATTTTGAAAATAATTATGTAATTTTTATTTGAACTGGTGTCCTTATAGTCGAAGGAACAAAGCTGTCCAGAGAATCTATGCTTCTGTGCACTGCCTCTGGCAAAACTTGTTGCGGTGACATGTAGTCTTAAAGCTTGGCGATATATTCTGTTATGAAATTGATTTCTTTATTAATTTGAATTGCGCTCACGGTTCATACTGTACATCAGAAACAATTTCGGGAAGCAGAGCGGAAGTTGTTGTCTGCTTTAGACAACCATTCTATTTCTTTGAGCTCGTACAAATGTAGGCACACAAACATGAAACGAAGAAGGCTGAACAACAAAGATGAAGCATAAAAAAAAAGAGGAAGAGGAGGAGGCCTTCTTTTCATCTCCTACATGACCATTTTGCTTAAGCATTGCCGCAAGCACTGGTGCTTGCGGCAATGCGCTGCTACTGCTATCGCTAGGTTATTTGGGAGCAGTGCACATTACCTACACCAAGGCTACAGAGCACAAAACTTCTTTTAAAATATTTCAAAATTTAATCTGCTTCTGCAGATCAAGTTCATTCAAAATGAAGTTCACTATTGCGAAATTTGTTTAGCTGGAATGTTTCTGCATAGAGTGCATAAAAGAGCAGCCTGGGATTTTATAAATGTTCATTATTTGGAAATATTCGTTAGACCGACGTTTGTTCAAGTTAGAGTTCATTGTATTTTCGGAAAAAGCAATGGAGCCAAAGAAAGTTGTGCTGCAAAGTTAATTGACGCTCGCGCACTGGCTCGAGTTCAGATACCCGGTGAAAAGGAAAAGGGAGTCAAAATAAGAACAGCTGACCTGCCGAGCAGGCCAGGGTGCGTAGAGGTCCTTGAAAATCCTGAAAACCATTGAATTTGAAAAACGCATTTTCAAGGCCCCCCAGAAATCCTAGAATTTTTTTCCCATTCTTAAAAACTCTTAAATTTTTTTAGTGCTCCCAATTGACATTGCGGCCTCCTTTATGTGGTAGATGGGCACACCAGCCAAGTCTCCTGAATTTCGACCAGTTCTTTCGTTTGTGTGGTTGCCAGGAAAATCTCCCAGAAATGGAAATTTCTGTTCGTGATCTGGCTGCATTGACAAAAATGCAGCCCGATCTAATCCAGGATTTTTGTGAAACCATTGCATTTTATTGTGAACAAGTTTAGGAGGCGTTCATCTAAACATACAGTAGAATCTCAATGATGTGAAACTGGCAGATATACGAATTTGTCAAGTTCCCCAGCTGAGTAACACTTTGTCCTTTGGGTCATAATTCGAATGTTCCTAGCTGATTTACTCATTGCGATGGGTAGTATGAACTTTGGGGGGGGGGGGGGGGGAACCTTGGAATGAAGACTGAGAGCAGCGTGCTCAAAGCTCAGGGAGGATGCGCACGGCCAGCGCACACACTGTCAGAGCTGTGGTTACCGTTTGCCGCAACTACTGTAGACGAAACCGCGGTTGCTCTTGACACAATCATGTGTGGCGACGACATAACTGACAGAATTCGGAAAATGCACGCCCGTTCAATGCTCGACTGGTTAAAGTGATGTTGCTTTCCACAAACGCTGCGGAAAAAATTGTGACAGAAGTGATCATAACAAAAAACAAAAAATTTTAAAGGCACAGGCAGTCTGCGTGCACAGGTAGTGTACGCATATTGAAAACTGTACTACCGTTTTCCAAACCTCCGCTTGCAAAACCGCGGTTGCGGCTACGCGATTCTTAGCTGAGGGCACGCGGCTAATGCAGCGGTAGAGGCGATAAAAATGTGAAAAAACGGTAAAATAGTTTTGGCGTTGCTGTACAAAGAATTTAGTAAAGTTATTCTGGTCGATCTGAATACTTTGGCTATATTTTGGCATAATATTTTCAGTTGGCCTGAAGCTAAGTTTCGACCCGTGCTTTTCTGGCAGCCGGCTGCGCCGTCCCGTCCGTCTACATGTGACCCAGGAAGACATGCGCGAGTTCTTTTGTCAGAAATAGATTTTGCTAGTTGTTTTGATAACCCAAAATTTTGAAAAATACAGGTATGCCCCCCCCCCCCCTTCCCCGCTTCTTTGAGACCTGTACCTTTTACTGTAGTTGGGAAACTCTACCTTCAAGTGTTTAGCCACTTCATGCCAGTATGCCACCGCACAATGTCACGTTTACTGATGCCTCTCCCCCCCTCAGTTTTTTTTTTTTCGTGATGTTTTTTTTGTGCAAAAAATAAAGGGGATCAATTAAATCAACGCGTCTCCCCTGCCCCCTTCCCGTTGGAGAAATCTCCCAGATCGAGAGTCTTTGAACTTGGGAGATATGGATCGGCATCGACATGACAAGCTCCCCATTTCTAAAACAGTAATTTGGTGGGACTTGATATGGTTTCGTTTTCAAAAACTGCATTGAGAATAAAATTTTAGTGCATCAAACCATAAACAAACGAAGTGAGAGACTCGTAATGTTCTTCGATGCTGGCTCCTTCCCTATCGTGCAAGCGGTGAAGCTTGTGAAGATAATTTGAAGTTTAAGGCATGAATACGATGGAGACGAAGACAAGGTACACACACACAGAGCGCCCCATGTGTTTGTATGTTCTCTTCGTCCATGCTGTATTTGCGCCTTAAACTTCTAACATGTTAAACGAAGAAGCCTAGTCTGCCATTCCTACATAGTGAAGCTAAAGTTAGCTAAACTGTAGACTAGACATGTTTGTTATAATTGCAATATGCATGTGCTATTTAAGTGTAATAAAAATGACTCATTTTTTCAAACTTAGAGCAATGAAGTTTCAACATTGCATGCCGCTTTTAGTCTTTGATAAACGTTTGACAGATCCTGGAAAGTCCTTGATTATTCTTGAATTTTCGCTGTGAAAACCTGTACGAACCCTGGCAAGCGTTGTCTTTTGTTCCTGGCATAGCTGTACAGTTGTGTAGGTGTCTGGTTCTTGCGAAACACTTGAACACCTTATTGTGCACTATGCAGCGGGCTTTGCTTATTAAGGAATATAAATTCCTGGGATTTAGGTGTGTGACCATAGACTACCTTTTTCTGGGAGGTTGTGTTTTTCGACGCGACTAGGCACGCTGTGCTCTACTGACTTTTTTTATACTCCCGGATTGAGACGGGACGATTTCGGGATAACTAACGTAAGTTCTTGTGTTTATATATTCTTCACTTTGAGTCATATCGGCGTAATTTTGACTTAAATGCATAGATTGGAGCCAATGTTATATTTAAAAGCCAGATTCATCGCGACATGACTGGATTATCTTGAGCAAATGTGCATACTAGTTATACTTTTAAAAGTGGTGTCACATTTGAATCGGAGTACCGTACATTACTGTTTCTGCTCAGTTCACCCATCTTGTGTGCTATCAGTGTGTGTTCTGGCATATGGTGGAACTTGTCAAGCTTAGTGCTTTCTTCTTGCTGAGAGTTGCGAAATGTGTATCATGAATGTAACAAATCAAATGTAGGCTACAAGATATGCTGGAAGTTTTAGCATTCTGTATTTTGTGGATGTGACGAACACTCAAGAAAATTCTAATCTTGTGGTCAGTCATGGCTACATTTTTGTTTTTGCATTTACACAGTGTACAAAAATGGCCCAACAAAATCATTTAATTTCATTTATTTATACTGTCAGCCCTTCTTGTAGGGCTGCCCCGCCGCGGTGGTCTAGTGGCTAAAGTACTCAGCTGCTGACCCGCAGGTGGCGGGTCAGCAGCCGAATCCCGGCTGGCATGGCTGCATTTCCGATGGAGGCGGAAATGTTGTACGCCCGTGTGCTCAGATTCGGGTGCACGTTAAAGGACCCCAGGTGATCGAAATTTCCGGAGCCCTCCACTACAGCGTCTCTCATAATCATATGGTGGTTTTGGGACGTTAAACCTCACATATCAATCATCATCATCTTTTTGTAGGGCTATTACAGGAGTAGAAAGTGATCATGTGAAACTTGGCAATGTTTTGGGTGTTGGCCTAACCTAAAACAATGTCATTATTTCATGTCATTATATTTTGTAAAAGACACATGGAAGGAATGCTGCTTGTGGGGCAAGTGCTGGGAAGTAACCTTCCGCCTACTCCTTCTCTGCCTTCAGTGTCAGATATAGACATCCAACAATTTCTTTGTCTTAAGTACTGCTTTTCGGACTTAGTGAAACTTTGTAATGTTAGCAAACCGTATTTACGCGCATAATTTGTGCTTTCACTTAATTTGCGCACACCTAATATTTAGCCAGATTTTCGAAAAAAATTTACTCGCATATTTCACGCTCCCCGACCTGTGCGAGCCAACTCGCCGGCATGCGGACCTTTGGACATTTCGATGCTTCGGCCTGGTGCGTGCCTCGCCGAGCAGACGAGTGCAGTCAAGCAGGCTGCGAGTGGGAAGTCCCTTCTTCCGAGGACTTCCTCCGAGCTAGGGTCCTTAGAATACCGCACCCGAACACAAACCTGTTGACGGATTGCCGGAACTGTTCGAGCGTTTGCCTCCCCCTATCTCCAAATCTCTACCACCGTGATAATGGTTAAGATGCATGCTCGCGTCATGGCACGGATGACTTCCTGCATTGGAGGCGTACGAGGGCCTGTCGCGCTAACTTTTCCCCTCGTTCTCTGCGTCCGCGCTGCCGCGCACGCTTGGTCAAGTTTAGACTTCGCTATTCGGCTGATTCATTTTGACCGTTCTCTTGTGATGTGCTATAATATTTACAGATACGGCAAAATTGAAGCTCGCTGTTATAAATTTCGCTGAAGAAAACGGTAAGCGTGCCGCCTAAAAGCACTTCAAGGGGACATACTTCAACGTAACGACCGACCGGAGCAATCGGTACGTGAGGAAGCAGAAGAGTGCGCAGTTGCTAATCCAAGTTTTCTGCCATTGAAGGAGGCGTGCTCAGTTATGTGTGGATGCTTAGTTCTTCCGGTATAGCCGTGTCGTGGGACGTAGTTTCTCCCAGCATTGTCGAAAGAGCTTAAGAAAATGGGACGTTCAAACGCGCTCGACGGAATCTAGGACAATGCGCTTTGGGAGGGCGGTGGCAGTGGCCGTGACGATGATCCCCAATCGGACTTCGTGATCAGTGATTCCCGCTAGACCGCGCGTGACCTGATCTGACTGGTTAAAGTATGCGCTAATTCTTTCAAAATTAACAACTATGCTTTGTTTGTGCTTCAATTTATTTCTTGTTCTTTTTTAAACGAATATACTGCGCACGTCAGGACTGTGACACAACATTTCGTATGTGCTTGCGAAATCCCCACGTAATTTGTACACCCTCTTCTCGGGGCTCCAAAATCGCGAGAAAAAGTGCGCATATTATGCGAGTATATACAGTAAGTACCTTTAATGATGAGTAGATCTGCTCATTAGCTAACATATTCAGAGGAATTGTAGAGATTTTATGAACATTTCTGTCAGTAGCTCATCTTTTATATTTTGGGCATCCTATGTTAACTTGTGCTGTACTTTGGAGAGGAAGAAAAGGTTGAAAATAATCACTAAGCCAGCATGTATTTTGTAACTCTGCCACTTGATAACTATGTGGTTCCTCTTCTGTTTTTGCAGGCTGAAACACTAAATCCCTTTGAACTCTCCACTAAGGTAAGGTTGTCCTGGTGTTTTTGTTGGTAAAAAAGGAGTGTTAGCAAATGCCACTTGTAGCCATGACAGTGAATGTGCCACATTTATTTTTTTTTCCTAGCTGGCATTATATAGCATGTGGTCTTTATAAGGCAGCAGCTTAACAATAAACCTTCACATGCTACCAAGTATCGTCACATTTGTTCGACACAACCTCTAATTTAGCCTACGAAAATGTAGGAGCATTATTTGCAGTCTCCTACTATCCCCAATCTAACTGCACCGATGTTGGTTGAAGTTAGTGCTGTGCAAATATCCGTAACTTCTAGCTTCAAAAGACACTCATTCTTTAAGCAATATTCAAACCCCCCCCCCCCCCCCCCCCCCCGAAGTTTTAGACTGTATTAAAGAAATGTTTTTTGTGCAACGTCGCTTCTTATACAGTCGAACCTCGATATACCGAACGGCGCGGCGATCGCGAAATAGTTCGATATACCCAGAATTCGATATAAAAAAATCACGAAAAAATGCGTAAACAGCTTGCAGAAAACAACCAACGAACCGTTCAAGCGTGGTGCAGTAAATACTCACTTGAAGATTGAAACATAGTATTTATTGTGTTGGTTTAAAATATTGAAAAAGAGTAGCCTGATTTTTGTTGACCATGGCGTGTTTGACGACTGCGTCCTCAATATAGTCCAGGCGATCCAAAAGTGATAGGCCGGTGCCTTCAATCACGCTGCAGTGGCGCGGCGCACAAGGGCCAAGGCAGCTACGACCTCAGCTGATGTCGGGAGCGGGGCACCATCAGCGCTTGCGGGATCCACCTCGGCAGAGTCTTCATTTGGCTGCTCAGCAGTAGCTTCGGCGACAATCTCCACATCCGTGAGCTCCGCCGTTGTACCAGTGATGTCATCACCTCCAACGAAGTCTTCGATGCACATGCTTTGCGGCTCGGCACCTACAAAGCTCTCCAGCTTGCTCCACGTTTCGGCGAGCTCGCTTTCTTCATCTGCGCATGCCAACCCAGCTTCCTCGAATTCTTCCACTGATTCCTCGTCAGTGCGACCAAAGCCCGCATGCCGAAAGCAGTTGGCTATCGTCGACTGCTTGACGTTTTCCCACGATGCTTTGAGCATTTGGATGGCTCCCAAGAGATCGATCTTCAGATCTTGGCCCATCTGGAGTTTTACGAGCAGAATGTCGATCAGCCGACGCTTGTAGTTAGACTTAAATGTGCGGATAAATACTCTGGTCCAACGGTTGGAGCTTCGAAGTAGTGTTAGGTGGCAGGAATACCACTTCGATGTTGCTCAGCTGGGCGTCGGTGTGGTGCTCCTTGGTATGCGTAACTCATCCGCGACGCTCGACTTCTTCTCGCCATTCTCTACGCGCTGTATTGCTTCCAGTTTTGCAGCAAAAGTCGGGGTCTTCCATTTCTTCGCGTTTGCAGCCATCACTACATACACCACAACGCGCGACAGGCCTAACTCCGAACGCACGAACACTGCGAGCAAAACGACCGATGCCTGCCGATGCTACGGGGGAGGAGCTTGCAACAAGTGCGCAGTGTGCCGTTTACACCATAGAAACTGCAACGACTGCAAGCTGCAAGGCTGCGGTGCGTGTATGCCGCTACGTTAAAGTGGCGCTCTCAGCGCCATCGATGTGTGCAGCATTCGTAAACGCCCGCCGCTCTACCGCTACTTTCGAGAGTTGCGGGAAAGCTCGCCGCCTGTCAATGGAGCGCGGGCGGTTTGGGGTGGCTGAGTTCGATATATCCATTATATCTCAAACTTTGTTCGAAATAAAAAATCAATAATCCATGCGATTTTCCGCGTGATATAGGAACCGTTCGATATAGGCAATAATTCGATATATCCGTGTTCGATATATTGAGGTTTGACTGTATGACACAATATTGGCTCATTTAGTGCACTTTTTCAAAGCCTAGGAAAATGGGGGGGGCATTATTTGTAGTCTCCTACTATCCCCAACCTAACTGCATGGATGTTGGTTAAGGTTAGTGGTGTGCAAATATCCGCAACTTTTAGCTTCGAAAGACACTTATTCGTTAAGAAATATTTGACCCCCCCTCCCCTGAAGCTTTAGAATGTATTCAAAACATGTCTTAAGTGCAACGTGGGTCTTATATGACACAATATTGGCTCATTTAGTGAACTTTCTCAAAGCCTGTAACAAAATAGCAATTCATAAATGTGATTGTGGCTTCACATTCGATACGTATGAGTAAATATGTTCCACAATGTTTTATACTTCATCACTGTTGTATTGTACTCTTTCACCCGAAAGTTTTTTTTAGCGCAGAAAGGGTCGGTACAATAATTTTAAAAATGGCTTTTATTGTTTGCATATTTATCCCCGCAACTCACTGAAATCAAATGCAAACTACTGTGTATGTTTCTGGCATGTTTAAAGGTGCTCCTTGGTTTGCCAAAAAGTTTGCTAAGGCTTGCTGTATTATTAACCTTCTAACAATCGTTGTCGAGTATAGTCATCATGACATTTCATATCATTCTAACCAAAGACAGCTCTATAGTTGTCAAGAACAAACATTTGTCACACAGGGAGCCTATGCTGACCTTAGGTACTCCTCCTATTGCAAATAGCTGTGATTCCTGATGCTAGGCAGACACGCATGTCCATATTGTGCCGTTTGTGACTCCTTGTCAGATGACGGCTCTGTAGAATTCTGCATGGAAACTGAAAATTGGCTTCTTATCCGAGGAGCCCAATGACATTCAGGACATGCAATGAAGCCTTCTTGAAGCTTTTTCTTGATATATTTTGGGCACTAAAGCAAACCCTTTGAATTTAGATAGTGGTGCTATTTTATTAAGAAGAAAAAAAATCATCTCCAAACTGGACTAAATTTGGTACAACTTTTTTTTTATGGTTGTGAAAGGGTCTGCTATTGTGAAAAAGTGGAGAGGCTGCCATGTCTTTAATGCTCAAAGAGGCCTTAAAACACTTTTTCAAGTAACCATGCAATGAATTCACTCGAAGAGCTGATTTTCTCACGAATTCAACGCCGCAAAAATTTTAAGAATCTGTCCAGTGTGAGTGGAGTTACAAAAGTTTGTCGCATGCTGCAATTGCATTCCCTCTTCTCTCGTTCTGACGAAAGTGCTGGAAGATAAGCAGGGAGGGATGGCAGGGCCACAGAAAAACGTCACGCCTCGTGACCTTGAGTACTGTTTTTTTTTTTTCTTCGAATGCGCGGCTTTTTCACTGTGATATTGTGTGGACAAGTAGCGGCCTTTCACGGCAATCTCTGTAACGAGTGAGCGCGTCATGTTCAAATCAGCCAATGGCTGATAGGTGGACTTGCTACGTGTGTTTTTTGGGCATATTTCGTGATTTGTTGAGAGAAGAGAAAGTAATTTTTAGCTGACTTTGATAATTTATTGTTAATTCCAGGCTGTGTGCTGCGCTACATTATTTGCCTTGCGTAAAGTCGGGAGCCTCTACTACCAATCGGCAGCGTTTTCTGACCATGCTGAAAAAGTGTTGCAAGGCCCCTTTAAGGCTGAAAAAAAAAAAATTTCTTTCATTATTCCAGAACTACTTCTATCATGCGCTGGCTAGTACTGACCTGCCTCATGGTTTTACGCACACCCCGACTGGTGACACGCCTGATTTCAACCCCATTGATCCCACTGATGTTATGCAGGTACGTTTTTACATCTCTAAGTTGACCTGTAACCTATAATCTATAACTGTACAAATTTTGTTAGAAATTAGTGGCATGCAAATATTCAAGACAATGATATTTTATCAAAATCGTGTGGTATTTGGTTTGGTTGGCAAGTCAAATCTACTGTATGAAATATTCTGATCATATATTCAAATTTTCGTAATATATTCACAACATGTGTTCAGAACATGGATTCGCTTCCTGAGTGATTCTGAACTATTTCACTTAGTGCACTTTCACAAAGGCTGTCCTGGTTTCCTTGCTTAGTAGCCAGCATGTGGCAGTGCGCATGAGGTCAAATGCACTATTTGCGACCGTGCTGAAGTTATCCTAAGAGAAAATAAGTGGAAGTTGCTGAATGATGCTAACACTGCAAAATTAGAGGGAAATGCTTTATAATAAGCAGTGCTAGCATTATTATTTGCTTATCTTCAATGAAGCAATTTCTACAAACATGGCACTGATCGGTTCTATTTGCTCTTTGAATTGCAACTGAGATGCGAGCATTCATGGTAAGCCAGAACAAATAGGCCTTAGTGTATCTAGTGGTGGTTAATTTTAGTGTTTGTAGGAATGGTGACATATGGTAGAGTTTCACTGCTCCCCGAACATGTTGAGCGGCTGTCCTTCTTTTACAACATTAAATAACTCGAGCTCTAATAGTACGGTCAATAAATAGTGTTATACGATGTATAATTCTTTTTGTATTATATAAATAATTAATAATAATTGTTTGGGTTTAACGTTGCAAAACCACCATATGCTTATGAAAGATGCTATAGTGGAGGCCTCCGGAAATTTTGACCACCTGGGATTGTTTAATGTACACCTAAATCTAAGCACATGGGCCTCAAGCATTTGCACCTCCATCGAAAATAAGACTGCGCAGCCGGCATTTGACCCCGCGAACAGCGGGTTAGCAGCCACGTGCCTTAGCCATGAGACTACCTTGGGTGTTTTTTATGCATTTTGCTGCACAATAAAATAAACTCACTTTTCTTGACATTTGGTTGATATTCAGATACAAAAGGGGGGGGGGGGGAAATGCTTTATTCGATGAGCACTTTTTTATAAGCTTGTGCAAATATTTAAATGCATTGAATATTTGAACGAATAATGCAGTGTTCAAATTCACTTTGAATTGAGTTTAAGTTATTGAAAATTTTGAAATAATTGAAACAAACGAATATGTGCATATTAATCCATATGTAACACTTTGTAAAGGCGGTTTCACTGCATTGAAGGGGTGCTAAGCCGTGAAAGCACATATCTAGGCATATTAGGCTGCATGTAAATGTGGTTTCATTGCAGTTTAGTGATCTTAAGCAGTCAAAGCACGTATTCAGGAGTAATCCACACTGCAGTCAAGCCCCACTTCAAAGTTTCTGTTTTCTTTGTTTATTTTATTTTTTAGTTTAAAAGCTCGTTACATTGATTTATATGCTCCAAGTATAGCAAATTTGAAAACCTGCATGTTTTACTGGCTATCACTAGGACTTGTACCGAAAGTCAAATCCTGCTACTATTCAAAGTTGTTGTCACTTCCTTTGATGAAAAAAAAATGGCCTTTGCACAGGCCTTGTCTCAATTAAAAAAAAGTATTGTGCAGGCTAGTTTGGTCACCACAAATATTCCCCTGTCTCTTTATAATGGGCGATATATATAATATTTGAATTTCATTCCAAATTATTCGACGAAAATCACTATTCGCTTCGAATTCGCTTCGACCCTAAAATTCACTATTTGCACAAGCCTACTTTTTTATTATTTGAATTCGCTTGGACGGACGGAATGTTTGCCTGCCTCTAGGTGAAATGATCAGGAAAAAAAACAAAAGTGTTTGGCAGATGGTGTACAGAGTTAAGGACACTAGGCTGTTTGGATAATTACGTTGTTTGCCTTCTCGGTGGTTTTCTGTTGCCTTTGATTGAAAAGACTTGCCTTTTCGTGTGGTGTCTCATATCTCATCTATTATTCGTAACTTTAGTAGGGTAGTTACTACTCTATGTGCACACCCACATGTTTTCCAGTTCATATTCAACTGACAGCGGTAATTGGAAGGCTTACTTCTGGTGGCTTATTCCTTGCTTCAGCTGGGTCTAAGTAACATTGGTATACCAGGAAATGAAAAGCGAGATATTTTGCTTCTTTGGCTGCACAGAAAGTAGTTACAAAAAATTGTCAGCCCCTCCACTACTGGGAACGGGGGTGCAAGCGTGTTGAGCAGAGAGGAGCAAGTGTGGCCTATCTATAGAGCAGCTGGCCTTGAGTTTACAAGAAACTGTGGGGACAGAGCCTGTGAACCTTCCTTTCCTTTTTCTGGAGTGAAGGAATGCTTGTGATTGGCTGGGAGAGTGCTGTGATATGGCATGCCACTTGCGAGAGCGGAGGTTTTCTGGACGCTAGCTACAAGTAACGAGGAGAACCTGTGATATCCGAGTGAGACTAGGCTTTTTTTTTGTATGACGCTGGCTTCACCTGACTTCGCAAGTGAGCCAGTAAAAGCTTCACTTGGAAGTGATAGTATTTAAAAAACAGCCAGTACATAATCGTTCAGCAAACTGGGAGTGCGGGGGAACACACACAAGAAGCAAAGAGGTACACAGCACGCGCTTGTTTTTGAGCGCTTGTGCTGTGTGCCTTTTTGCTTCTTCTGCGAGTTCCTCCGTGCTCCCAGTTCTCTGAACAATTGTGAACTACCAACTAGCCCACCTTTCTATCCTGACAGCCAGTGAACCACTCGGCTGTCCTTGTTATCTAAGCCCTGGCGACAGTCAGAGTTCTGCACAACTAATAAGCCCAATCTTGTTAAGCCCAAAACCTCACATATCAATCAATCAATATTGTTAAGCCCATAGTGGGCGAATTAAGGATGTACCTTCGCTAAGAACAGTTTATTATGGTTAAAGCTTTATATGCTTCGTCAGATGAAAAATCCGGTGTTATCCCGAAACTGTACAGAATATACCAAGTGACCCCATAAGCAAGTCTCGAGGCATGTGAGCTCTGCATTTACTATATCTTTGTGGCATTTGCAGGACTAAACAAAAATTTAAATGCTGCATTCCTCTTATACATGGCTTGAGGCACACTAGCTGCACATTCACTTAGTCTTTGCAGCATTCGTGTGACTGAAGAATATGAATGAAAGCGGCATTATTTTAAATTACCTTTTAAATAATTCTTAGCTCTTTATTATGTAACAACCTGGCTGTGGAGGCTGCATTCTCGATGGAGGTGAAAATGTAGGCCCGTGTGTTCAGATATGGGTGCACATTAAAGAACCCCAGGTAGTAGAAATTTCCGGAGCCCTCTACTACGGCGTCTCTCATACTCATATGGTGGTTTCGGGACGTTGAACCGCTCATATCAATTAAATGATTTATTATCTAACAATTCATGTCTAGTGCACCATAACTTTCGTCAGTTTCGCTCCATAGATCCTGTTTTAACTAATGAACTATTCTTTGCAATGGCTTGCAATAAACATGTTCCCATGTATTTTGAGTTTTGGTGGTCATTGAGGCTTTTGTGTATATTCACCTGTATGAAAGGGATTACCAGTTTTGTATTAAGCCTTTATAATTTTGTCATTTTGATCCTAAAGTCAAGCAAGTGCCAGCATGATATAATTACATAGTAGGTACTGGTAGCAAGTAATGTTTGAAAAAAAGAATTGACAGGGAAAATACGAGATGAAGAAACATGGGGACAGGCATAATATTTGTGCTGTTTATTCATTCTTTGAGGCATGTACCAACTAACCAACCCTCATCACTGTTCTATCGTGGCCGAGGAAAGACACGAACGCCGGGACCAGACAAGAACGAATGCATCTTTATTGAAGGAATGCTCTGCTTTTAAAGCGCTTTATCGTGACGACGGTCTTACGTCATGGCTCGTTTGATAACCGATATCACACTCTTCCCTTCTTAGTGAAACAACAGTCATTTATTGCAACTTGCTCTTTTCGTAAAGTCTTTTGCAGTGTACCGCTCAGGAGGTTTTCGCATGCGGGTGCCTCGTCGCGGTAATACTGACGATGACTCGTTGCCTGTAGGAATAGGCTGCTCAACTGCTGGGGAGCTAGATCCGGTCTAGTTAAGCCCTGCATTCTCTCTTTCTGTACCTGATGACGCGTCTAGAGGTGTATCTGGTGGTAGGACCTGGGGAGTCTGGTTGTCACTGGAATCTCTTAACTCTGATGAGGTTGCCTGAGTTGGATCTTGTCTTTTTGGCCAAGGTTCGCTTGACACGTTGCCTTTCAAAAAGACCTCTCGAGAAGACAAATCCTGCAAAAGGCTTCTTGGCACTTTTGATCCTCCTGGGCGGATTCCTCCATCATTCTGCAAACCAGTTGCGGATGCCGCATTACTAGGGACTTCGGTCCATACGTTAGTTTTCTTCTGTCGCAAGTGATCTACGTGAGTGAACTGCAGTCGCCCTTGAACACTAATCATATACGTGACTGGGCTCACAACTTGCTCAACAGTACCTTCTTGCCATGATACCGGCTCACCACATGTGGTCTTTACGTACACTCTGTCTACCACGGAGAAAAATTCAGCAGGTCCTTTGTGGCGATTACGTCGCTCCGTGTCTTGTTTCAGGTGTTCCCCCATGTCTCCTGCAAAGCTTGGTTTAAGAAGAGACAATTTAATTCGGGGCAGGCGCATAAGGAAAACTTCAGCAGGCGTCCGGGAAGTCATCGAGTGTGGGGTGTTTCTATAAAAAAAAAAGAAATTTGTTGAGACGTTCTTACCAGTATTTCTGCTGCTCCATTAGAAGCGGCATGATAAGGAGGGGTCCTAGTATGCTTGATACCCCTGTGCCTCAAGAACTCTCCAAAGTCATCCGAAGTAAACTGTGGACCGTTGTCGGTTACAATTTCTTCAGGGTAGCCGTATGCGGCGAATAACGTGTCCAGTTTTTCCAAAGTTCGCCTGGTTGTAGTCGATGGCATGACAAACACTTCAACCCACTTAGAGTACAGGTGTACAAGAACGAGTAGATTTACACCGTCTTTGACAGCGTAGTTGGCGTGAATCCTCTCCTAGACTTTTGTTGGATACCGCCAGGGTTATAGAGGACCTGTCGACTTTGCTGGACGAGTGCTTTGGCAGACTTGACAATTCCAGACGGTTTCTTCGTCTTTGTCGAGTGAAGGCCACCACACGTACGACCGTGCAAGCATCTTCATACGACTTATTCCTGGGTGTCCCTCGTGCAGCATTGAGAGAACATGAGCTTGCAAAGTTTCTGGCACGATCACCCGATTGCTCCGAGTCAAGCACCCCTACTCTGCAGACAGGTGATCTCTGTGTATGAAAAATGGTCGTAGTTCGTCAGGGTAATGTGGCCATCCTGAAAGAGTGTAGCTTAAAACAAGTGTTAAAACAGTGTCTCGTTTTGTTTCTCGAGCAACGTCTTTCGCTGTCAGTGGGTTTGCGTCGAAAACAGCTAAACACTTCGGTTTGTCGTTCCCAAAACTTGTAGACAGTGGCAGCCGTGATAGCGCGTCAGCGACTTCCATTTTCTTGCCGTTCCGGAACTTGAGATCGTACTGATACGCTGTCAACGTCAGTGCCCATCTCTGCATTCGTGCAGCTGCTAGTGATGGCAGTGGATTATCGCACCCAAGAAGCCCAAGAAACGGCTGATGGTCGGTGTATAGGCTGAACTTGCGGCCATACAAGTAGCGATGGAATCGTCGCAACCCAAATATGAGTGCGAGGGCTTCTTTTTCCCCTTGAGCATAGTTGCGTTTACTGCTGGTTAATGTACGCAAAGCGAATGTGAACGGTTGTTCGGTTCCGTCAGGCATTTCGTGGAAAATCGCAGCTCCCTAGCCATAAGCGGAAGAATCGCAACTAAGTCCGATTGGTTTTGTGACGTCGTAGGAGGCTAATACTCTGCTGTTCAGAATCATTTTCTAGTTTCTTCGAATGCCTTCTTGCACTGTTGCGTCCATTCCCACTTGCGGTCTTTTTGAAGAAGCTCATAAAGTGGTGCTACCACAGTTGCCAAATTCCGCAAGAATTTGCCATAGAAGTTTAGAAGACCCAAGTCGGCCCTCAGTTCCGTGATGTTACTGGGCTCTGGCGCATCTCGAACTGCTTTTATATTTTCAGTGGTGGGGTAGATGCCCTCCTCCGAGACCTTGTGCCCTAGGTAAACCACAGAATCGCGAAAAAATTTGCATTTTTCTTCCTTCAGCGTTATGTTGTGGTCGCTGAGTTCCTTCAGGACTTTTGTGGCAGTTGTGTAGCAGTCTTCTGCACTGTGGCCAGTGATGATGACGTCGTCTATATGGCATCCTACGTTAGGAATTCCTTCTAGGACTTTGTCCATCATGGCCTGAAATAAGGCTGGTGCGCTCGCAATTCCAAATGGAAGTCTTTGAAATTCGTATAAGCCTTGATGCGTGTTTATCGTGAGCAGAGGCTTGGACTCTTCACTGAGAGGCACTTGCTGGTACGCTGAGAATAAGTCCAGCACGCAAAATAATTTGCCCCCAGCTAGCATCGAATATAAATCCTCAGGAAGCGGTAGTGGATAGAAATCAGTGTTGGGTACTCGATTGATTGTTACTTTGTAGTCTCCGCAAATTCTGATTCCGCCTCCACGCTTCGGAACTGGTACGATGGGAGTCGCCCACTTGCTCGTAGTTACTTTCTTTAAGATGCCTTGACTCTCTAGTTTCCGAAGTTCTTCGCTGACTGCCTCTTTAGTAGCGAAAGGCATAGACCTGGCTTTGCAGAACACAGGTGTAGCATTTGGGTCTATGGCTATTTCGGCTTCGAAGTTGCGAACTATTCCCGGTGTCGTACGGAAGACTTCTGGAAATTTTTCCCGCAGAGAACTGACATCCCCGCTTTGTGTGACAGCACTGACGGTATTCCAGTCAAGTTGCAACTTTTCAAGCCAATCTCGCCCTAGAAGCGTAGGCATAGCCTTGCCCTGGTCCTCTATTATATGTAGCGGAAGCTCTGTTCTGCAGCCGTTATGCTCGACGGTTACGGTCGCCTGTCCTCTCAGCTTTACAGGCTGTCCTGTATAAGTTTTCAACACTGCCTTTGTTGGTTTGTGTGCAGTTTGCGAAAACCATTGCTTGAACGTACTTTCAGGCATCAATGTGACAGCTTCGCCCGTATCCAAAAGCATAGAAATAGGCTTCCCTTCAATCAGCAAACACACTTTGTAGCCTCGTTTCCCATCTCCAGCACACGTCACAACGTGATATGTCTGGGAATCGTTCGATTCCTCGTGTGTCGCTTCAGCGTAGTTCACCGGACGGTTTTTCTTTTCTTGACACATCGTTTGCAGATGCCCTGTTTTAGCACACGCGTGGCACTTCGCGATGCGATACCAGCACTTGTCTCATCGTGCCCTTTCCCACAGTGATAACAAGTGGTCTTTGTTTGACCCCTTTCGTTCTTATGTGCCGACGACCTGGTTTTTGCTTGTGTTTTCCTACTGACCACATTAATATCGGTCGAGCATTCTGCTTTAGAATGCAGCTCCATGGTTTGCTTGGCAGTAAGTTCTTTTTCAAGTGAAATTTTGCACGCTTTTTCAAAGGTTAAGTTTTCAGTTGCGAACAATATTCTTTGAGTCTCTTGGTTGCGCAGTCCTGCCACGAGTCGGTCCCTTAACGCATCTTTTAGAAACGCCTTGAACTCGCAATTACACGCCAGACGTTTCAATTCTGTCATGAAGACTTTGACGCATTCTCCTTCCTTCTGCATGTGGTTGTTGAACTTGCAACGCTCGGCGATTACAGAATACTCAGGACTGTAGTGTTGTTCTAGAACCTCCTGTATTTCTGCAAAGGTTTTGTCAGTAGGTCTGTCAGGGACTAAAATTTTCTGGAGCTCCCCGTACACTGTGCTTCCTACTATGTTCAAAAACGGTCTCAGCTTCTTTGTCTCCGGAACCTCATTAAGTGCCACAAAGTTCTCAAGCCTCTCAAAATACGACTTGATGTCGTCGCTGCTCGTGTTAAACTCTGGCATGCTTCCAAAATGTTGCGAAGCTAGTGGAATCGCCATTTTGAAACACTTGCTTTCTGTGCTTGAGCCAGTCGTCCGTTCCGCTTCAACCGCTGTGCCGGTGCTTGCTTCAGGATCGTACTACCATCCCATCTTTGTCGCCAGTTGTTCTATCGTGGCCGAGGAAAGACACGGACGCCGGGACTAGACAGGAACGAATGCATCTTTATTGAAGGAATGCTCTGCTTTTAAAGCGCTTTATCGTGACGACGGTCTTATGTCATGGTTCGTTTGATAACCGATATCACAATCACTTATTCAATAAGTAATGTAAATCCACATGTCTGCAGGAGTCGAGGCTTGAACAGTGTTTCTTTTCATAATGCTTTGCCATGTACACAATGAGCTTTTGCAAGATGTTGTTGCTATATTCTTTGTCCTATTACACATTGACATTTTTGCAACATGCTTGCCACATGAGTGCTTCATATTTGTTTTGTTATGACCTACAGGAAAATATGGACCTGAAGCGACAACTTATTTTGATGCAGCAGCAGTTAGAAGACAAAGACCGCACAATTCACCTTCTTCAGCAGCAAATGGTGAGATGCACCTGGCATGTTGTGTATTTAAAGTCGATGGTAGCACCGGCGTTCTTCTGACATTCATTGTTGCATTATGCAACTCTGTAAGTTCATAACATTCCCAGTATTCTGAATAGCACCTTTTCTTCTCCTTTTGTTGTTCTCTGTATTGCGACATTTGATAGGTTGTCTTCCCTGATTATTTTCTCTACCATTGAGTCTTAACTTCAATATTACTTTGCAGCCTGATGAGCAAGTGATAAAAGCATTAGATGACCCACAAGTGAGTAAAAAAGGTGCCTGTTTGACCATACTAGCTGCACAAAATGCACTATCAATGTGGTGTGCTCTTTGCCCTTTCATCTGCTAGGAAAAACGAGTGCCTTTTTTGCACTTTTAATGGCACAAAAATAAAAATAAATAAATAAATAAATAAAATACAGTGGCACAAAAGGAATCAGATAACCTGTGTGGCATGGTACTAAGCACACAGCTTTCTTAATAGAATCTGGCAATTTTTATTGATATTACTTTGGTTAGGTCATCAGCTTTTAGTATTTATGCCTTTTCCTGTTGAAATATCACTTCATTTTATGCCATTTCACTAGGCATTAGTGCAATTGAAGTACTTTAGTATTCACAATGCCCACGGCCTATAGGTGGCGCACCATGCAATGCAGAATGGCTGCGGAAGGATGATCAACCCGTGAACTCGCATAAGAAAAAATAGGACGCATGGACATACTCCTCGTGCCCCTTTCACCGGATGAACACTTGATCTTCAAATGAATGTACACCGAACCAAATTACTTTACCAACTGATAGGAACTGCTCAATGTTTGCTACCTCATTTTTTGCCAAAGTGGAAAGGGTGGTGGTGTCAGCTGATCAACCGTGTTCCAACGATGCTTTGTGTAATCCTGTGCATGCTACAGCGAATTGCACAAGCTAGAATTCATGTATGAACTGAACGGTACTCTGCTTGCTGCAGCAAATTGCGCAAACTAGAATTCATGTATGAACTGAACGGTACTTTGAGATCATTTGTGCCGAGCCTGTCTAGCGGATTTGCCCCAGAAGTAGGCCACTAGCGAGTAGCGCGCTGCCATTACTTGTGCTTTAAGAATCGTGCAGCTGCTTCTTCAATGGAACACAAGCATTCAACTTCCCATTAAGTAGTGCTTGTGTCACAGCCATGATCAGACTCTAACAGTGCGCAATTCCCAGCACTCGAATGTTGCAGGTTCTATCAGCGCTATCGAAACAAGGTTATCGACACGCGTACGCTTTTCGCAGTGTCAACATTGCAAAAATTTGTCAAACAACAACGACGTTCGGATGGCACCGGTGAAGTGCAGGAGAAGTTAGCGTGGACTGTTGTCATAACTACATATTTCATTGCTCTAACCATTTCCCTTCATTGGTCGAGCTCGAGCGTGTTGGCAGCATGTGGCGCTTTGTAATATCCACTGTAATTGGGATACATTCAATGCACAAAAAAGTATGCTTTTATTTTGAGCTCGCTGAAGGATATTATACAATAAATACATTCAAAGTGACTTACGAGCGTGAAAAAAATATTAATGCAAGACGGGACGTGAAGTGTAACTCTCTGCTTGTGAGCTAGCAGCTGATCATTCATCGTCGCTGTCACTCTCAGCGCGTTGACAACTGTGTACTTCCAATGGAAAATCTTTGACATCAAGACGGTTTTTTGAACATCACTGCTGAAAGTAATCTAAGGAATTCTTTCCGCCAAACGACTTCGATAGCACCAACAATGCATCATTCACCACGGACAACACCCACATGGCGCCACACACCACGTTTATCTGGGGTGCCCCAGTGTGGACACTGCGAAGATTACTTCGCTCGGATACCTGGCAAGAAAGGAATCTCTTGCAGTGTGCTGTCATCTACTAACGAACGTAAAAAAACAAGCAGCGCAGCGTAGACCAAGGTTTAGAAATGCAAATAGCGAGCCTGTGCTACTTTCCGCGTACAATGTTATGTGATTGCACTGTGTGAAAAGCACTGACGAATACTATGCGCACGTAAAACAAGGAGTGTTTTACTGGAATGGTCAGACGAAAACATTTAACTATCCGAAGTGGCTACAGAAAATCTCATGAAGCTGATATGTGTACTCTGCAGGCTATAATCGAAAGCACGAGTTGCCACGCATCTTCACAAAAACTTCGCGTCTCACAAGAACGAATCAGATTTATCGTGTCATGGGTGGTCCCATATGTTCACTGGTGCACGAAACATACGAAGTGGCTTGTGTTCATTTCTTGCTAACGCGTTCACGCTGCGGCTAGCCCTGCCAAAAAAGGGAGCATTGGGAGCGTCTGCCTACTGATCATCCTGGAGAGAACGCTCCTGAATTCCGCTAGGCGGCACGCCAGTCTATGAACATTGCGAATATGAAGGAGACTAGCCCACTTAAGTATGAAATCTGGAGGTCCAGAAGGCCCAGGCATCAGATCTTTTTAAATCTTGTAAATCTTTTTGGAGTTTAGTAAGAGGGCCAAGGCATTCTCTTCCATTTTTTGTTAGAAATGGCCTTTTGTATTATTGTTGGAGGTATGGCTTGGACATTGATTTGGTTGTCAGTTCAGTTGACTTCTGTTTTATGGCACCTTCTGTGTAAAAGTGTATGCCTGCATCATGAGCCGTAATTATGGCATGGTGCAAGCTGGTGCAGTTGCTTATTAAAGTGGGAAAGCAGTGCTACATGGGCATCGCCCTGATGTTGCTGTTCGAAATGACATCTGCCGATGCACAGATGTTTCCAAAAAATACACAGGAGCTTCCTGAACCTAACAAACAATGTAGCTATGTGGCTATAGTAAGCTCCACTGCTTAGTTATTGATGCTTCATATTCATACATTTTCTAGATATGTCTAGTGTAATTTCATCATGTGTTTTCAATGTTCTTCTTGTAATTTGAAAACACACGAGACTTGTTTTTCTGTTTGTGAACAGCCGGCAAGCGGCAACTGCAAAAGAGTATGGCCACATCAAAGCACATTTCATTTTCTCAGAAGGCACAAATAGTCCTAAAGAATGAGCACATATTGTACTATCATTCTCAGCTACACTACGCGAGTGCGTGCTTCAAGATGTTTGCAGTACCACTTATCGTGGCATACACAAGTTAGTGGGAGAGGGTTTGGCTGTTCCAGTGAATGCACATCGCCCGCATTCACTTTCTTACACTCTCACCCTTCTTTATTTAGAAGAACCTTTTGTCTTTCTTTTTGCTTGCTCATTCTATCTTAACCGAAGAAAAATTCAGTGACCTTACCGTCCACCAGACATGTCGTGCAAATTTTATCAAAAAATGGGCATTAACTTCATGCAAGAATGAATATGCAAATGCTGTTTTGCTTGAACGCTTCTAGAGAAAATGGCGAGCCGTCGGCAATGTGGGCTGTGCAATATTATCAGTAAAAATTTTTAGCAGAGCTGTGCCGCCCATGCTCAATGTGTTGCCATTGATACTGTTCTGGTGATCGCTAGCGGCATTTTTTCTATGGGTGCGGCAGCTGTTACTTCACTTATTGACAATAACTGTGCTGATAATATGTTTTAATAACACTAGTTATGAACATATACCACTCTCCAGTTGGTTTGCCTGCAAAATGGGGAGGCAGGGAGCGTTTTACAGTGAAAGCTGTTATGAGATTAGAACACGAGTCACTCGCGGCGCCGTAGTTGTCTGCCGCCGGTGTCCATAACCAGTACTGAAAAAAAAAAAAAAAAAAAAAAACTCGAAACTCCAAGCGCACAGTGGGGCTTTAAACCGGGTCCGCTGCGTGCCAGCCCAGTATTCTACAGTCGAACCCCGTTACAACGAAATTCATGGGGTGCGGAAATTATTTCATTGAATCGAGAAATCCGTTGTAGTGAAATAAAAAAATTATAGCTGATCTGAGCTCGCAAAACAAAGGACCATTTATTATTAAAATTAAAAAAATGTCCGCTGCTTCTTATTCTTTCCCAGCAGCGTCAAGACGCGATTCAAAGTCATGCATAGCGAGGCCATGGTGAAAACCACGCTGAAACAACGCCGACAACCGCTTTCGTAAACGTATCAAACAGTTGCATTAACACGTTAACACCAGCAGCCGTCCGTCGTCATTTGTATCCGACAATGTCGAGATGGAGGCAGGGTATCGTGGAGCGGCGACTTTTGTATTGTTCTATGCCATTCTTATCATCCATCACTTGCGGCTAGCTAATTTTGCTGATAACGCGGACGAACAGCCGCTCTGATTAGTTACCACACTGGTCAAGCGTGAACATAATGATTAGCATCAGAATCTGAAAAGGCATCATGCCGCGGTTGCACCCAGGAGCTGCAAGAAGAAAACCATGAATTGAGCCACTGAGCTTCAGCTTCGGATCGTTTGCAGCTCGAAAGCAAGCCAGTGGCAAAATCAGGGCCATCCTCCATGCAGCAGGACAATCTCATTGCCATCGCTATCGAGCAATGGCGGCACCCATGCGTGCTGAACAGCTGCGGTTTCCGGTGGTGCCAACATGTGTCTTAAACTTTGTCGACGTATTTTCAGGTTCTCAAAATGCATGAAAGTGTTAAAGATTGGGTTTCCTATATAGCAATAAATATCTTAGCCTGGAATTGCATCATGAAATTTTGTTGAAGCGGGACGGCAGAAGAAAAAGCATTCGTTGTGGCGACAATATTTATGCATTGACTCCTATGGACTGCTGAAGGGGAACCGTTAATTTTTCGTTGTAGCGGAAATTTCATTGAAGCGTCGTTCGTTGTAGCAAGGCTCAACTGTACCACTGAGCCACGCTGGTACTTGGGACTTGTTCGCAAAGTGGCCTTAGGTAGGCTTGGTGTCGGGAAAGGAATCGTGTTAATATGAGTAAAGAAGCGTTTTAGAATAGCAAAGGAACAACCAGGCATCACACATTGTTCAAGCATAACAAGTGGGTCATCGTATACTCCAACCCATCACAAAAGCTTATTCTTGATCACCTA